CCTCCAGTCGTGTATATACAGCTGGTTACTGGAATGGAAATGGCTCTGCAGCCACTGAGATTCAGAGCTGTGTTTTTTAGCAGACCAGCTCTGTAACTCTGGATCACTCTGCTAAGGTTCAACCTTACAACTATGTCTTAACGTTAAGTCAATGCTCTGTACTAGTACCTGAAACTGGGAGGAAGCCTTACTCCTTGCCAGCCCCAGTCGTGTATATACAGCTGGTTACTGGAATGGAAATGGCTCTGCAGCCACTGAGATTCAGAGCTGTGTTTTTTAGCAGACCAGCTCTGTAACTCTGGATCACTCTGCTAAGGTTCAACCTTACAACTATGTCTTAACGTTAAGTCAATGCTCTGTACTAGTACCTGAAACTGGGAGGAAGCCTTACTCCTTGCCAGCCCAAATCCCCTGCAGCATTAGCAAACTCCCACGGGAGCTTCTTTGCTTTGTTCTTGTTTACATTTTTCCTTCAGCTGGTTACACCTTCTCTTATTTCGGCCCCTACTCTATTTCCGTTGCTATTTATTTTCCTTCTTCCACATTTCTGTAATGTTACTTTCCATGCTTGATTCAACCATGATTCTGCAGTCCATGATTCAGTCTGTGACTGTTCGCTATGTGACTATTTACCATACTATTTGCATTTTTCTAACAGATCTAGGCAGCATGTTTACGGAAGGGCTAAACCAGCATTACCTAGGCCTAAGTACACACACTCCTGTGTTTCTTCTAAAGCATTTCCTTGCAATATATTCCTTTCCTGTGTCACATGGTAACCACATGTTTATCTGCAATTTAATTACAGCAGAATGGGAATAAATTAATTACATATTAGAGGTTTATTTTTAAAATGTGAGGAAGAATAGAATTAAGTGAAAATTAAACCTCAGAAAGAACAGGAAGGGGTACATAATAAACACTTAGCAAACATAGAAGTTGAAGATGTTTTTTCTTTGCTTTTTTCCTTGCTGGGGAGGAGATGATTCTTCTTTCCATTATTTCTCTTTAAAACTGTCGAGGCAAAAAGTTTCCACTAGTTAATGAAAAATTATACTTCTGACCAATGTGTGTGCACATTTACAAACCAGTGTTTCTAAAAGCAAAAGCACTAAGGTACTTTATCCCGTGTTCATTTCTGTAGTAAGAAGGCACGTTGGACATCAGAAAACATGTCTCCAGCGCAGCTGGAAAGACATGCAAGCTTGCTCGCTCTGCTCCAGAGACCGCATTTCCCCACTGCACACCCTGCGCCACCTCTAGGCTCAGAAATGATCTTCACCCATTAACGCTGCCCTCTTGGACACTGGGAAACCTGAGGATGACAGCAGGCCATGGGCAAGAGGCTAGAAAGGAATCCAGAAATCAAGAATGCTTCTGGTGCTACCACATCAACTTCAATGCAATCCCCTCAGATGGGTCATCTGGAACTGACTGCCTGGGTGTTGCTCACAAAGCCTGTCCTCCTCCTGAAAACAAGCCTACCGACCTACTGCTCCATGTAAGAATATACACAGAAGGAGCCTGCCATCTGCTACCCAGGGACAACATGTTTCCCATCGTTTACTCCTGTATCAGATATTATTGACTGCCCACTGAACTGAAGAATCATATCCTCTGAGTTAGTTCTGGCTTCCTCCTTCCCATTTTAAGTTTGAATAACCTAATTTTTCTAGATTCAAATTTTAGGGCTTATTTGTCATTTTATTTAACTTCTGAAATACAGTGCCTCAGTACTAAGGTAGCTGTAGAGCCATCTTCTGCACAGGTATCTGCACAGTTCCCAGTCCAGGACATACTAACCCATCGGGTTATTTTTGTGGGGGAGCATTAACCCTGCACTTGGGCATTTCTTCTCTTGGAAATCCACAGTAAGCCAGTAGAATGCAGTAGTTCTGTTGTTCTTCCACAAGCTTACTGCCATACTAGTTTTAATCATATTGTATTTTCAAACCCCTACTCTATCTCTGCAATTAAGTACAATTTAACACTTCTTGATGATAAATTTAA